CCCCCCCCGGTGCTCCTTTAACCCTCCCCCACTGGTCTCTCTTGAGTGTGGGATTGCCCTATGCACCCCCGTGATCTGAGGGATGGTATTGCCTGCCTTAATGGCCTGCTCTGTGTTGCATGGGGAGACGGTCTAACGCATGTGTAGTGTCGGGGGTCGCCTGGGGGCTGACCGGGGTCTTGTCGGGCTGCATGTTGGACACTTGCACTCTGCTGTGTGTGTCTTGCGTCCGTCGATGGTCTACAGTTCATGTGGCAGTATCTGGGGTGGGGTTTTGCAGGGGGTCTTAGCCTCTCACTAAAGGCCACAAACCACAGAAATAGGACTTTTACCCAAATCCATTCCTTTGCAGTAAAACAACTTTCATGTGTCTTGCAAACAAAGCAAAAAATACTCATTTCTAACAATATATTTTTTTTTAAACTTTAAAGTTAAATTTTTTATTCTATTAACTCTCCTGCCATGAAATAAAATGCCTGTTTTTGTGCTTATGTTTAATTATTTAGTTTTTGGTGCTTGTTTTTGGACTTCCAGACCACTCAGCAAAAATCATTTAATTTGGTTATTTTCAGTATAATTAAAATGTTTTGTCAAACTGTCAGTCTGACAAATTCAATGCAATCCAGTAAAAAATATCTCCTTCAGAGTTACTTCCGTTGCAGCACCGTGGATGATCAGCAGTGTTTCTGAAAATCCCTAAAATTAATGTTTTCCCTTACTGGGAATTTGTTTTTTTTTTATGGATTTTTAATCTAACTGTGTATGGCGCAAGTATTATCTGTTAACATTTCACTCTAATTGTATCAAATTGGCAGTTTACGTGATTGACAGATACAGATAAATTCCCCCTTAAATATCTCTGAACAGTAGTGGTGATTTTGATGGTTTTGTTGGTGTATTTTTTGTGTCCCAGTGTAACATCTCTGTCCCTCTCACCCCTCCACTTCTAGAACATTCACCTTGGGGCTCGTTACTTCACCCCTTCAGTAGATGAAGGTGCAGGTGGTCTGGATATAGTGGGGGGGGGCTTCTAGCTCCCACGCTGCGGTCAGCCAGATCACATGACCCACCCCCCCTAGCGACCGAGCAGGGCAGCGTGAGCTCTGCCTCTTCCCCCTACAGTCTTTGCAGGGGTGTCCCCGCAGTGTCCACCCCCACGCTGTGTCTCTCAGCCGCGTCTTTATGACGATGTCATTAAATCATCCTTTAAAATCGTGCCCCAGCCGTCGGATAGAAAGAAAAGAGCAGAGCACAGATGACATCATAATGACTGCGATCCCGCATCCTGCACCAGCCTGTAATTATCAGTGTTTCCTTAATGCCTGGCCGTGACGTTATAATCAACCGTTCGGCTCGGCCTGCCGGGGCCGTAGAGCTGCAGCCTGGCTCGGCCCGTTTCTCCGGAACGTAATTAAAAGTCTGCGTGTGCAGCGGCAGGTGCTCTTTGTGTAAAGATGAGGGTCAGAGCTTGTCATACGGGCACAGCGAGGAGCGGATCGTGCCGAGATGTTAGAATTAAAATTAGAGAGATTTCAGTCGGCCGCAGGTGGCTGAGGCTGGGTCGGGGGGGGGAATATCGCTGACATCAGTAGGTGTTAATACCAGCCAGGACCTAATCCAGGAAGCTGCTGACCAAGCTGTACACCTCCATGGCCTTCACTGGAGCTGTAGACCAGACGGCGTCCGTAACACACTTCCTCTCTCTTAATCTCTCTTCTCTCCGCTGTCTTCTTCCCTCTTGCTTCTGACATTGGGGCCAAGGTAAGGAGGCCTTCCCTCTGGGCACAAGCTGCAGGGGAAAGCACTGTAACGCCTCATCCCCCCCCCCCCCCCCCCCACCCCTCGGGTCACCCCGAGCTCGGCCGGTCTCCGAGCCGCCCCTCCTTCATTTCTCCGCTCCGGCCCGGGACACTCTGGGAGCCTGTTGGGCTCAGAACTTGTCAGACGGACTGCTAAGTGATGAATCTGAGGAATCCGGAGTTGCACATTTAAGTGAACGGATTTCTTCCCAAAAGCAGCTCTCCTAAGCATAATCAGTGTCCAAATGCGTCTCTTCAGGCACCCTCAAGTGCTCCCTGCCTTTGTTTTGTTCCAAGAGAGCCTTTGATTTAATTGAATAGCTCCCCATCTAGCCCCTGGTGGAACAATATGAAGATGGGGAACGGTTAGGGGGTCCCCCAGGGGGGTTAGGGAACAGCGTGGCGCTTCCCCAGGGGGGTTCGGAACAGCAGTGGTTCTGAGAAATGACAGTCGACCCCTGTGGCCTGGGTCGAGAAATGGAGCCAAGAAACTTCAATGCCAGCACGTGCATTGGCCTGAAGTTTTGCACGTCACGGTGTTTTGGTTGGCAGAGGAGCCGCCGTACGTTCAGGGACATGGGCTGAAGGTAGACAGACACCCTAAAGGGGCCCTCAGGGAACCTTCTGTTTGCATTTTAGGTGACGTCGCATTTCAGTGCCGCATGACGCTGCGCCCTTTTCCTTAGTGAAACTCACTCCCAGCCGGCACGGCACAGTCTCTTTTAGTTTTCGTTGGGTTAACATAAAATTGCGATGCGATGGTGCAATTCTGGAAGCAGGAACTGCAGTTGTGTCGCATGCAAGCCAATTTTTACCAGCTTGCAACCTCTGCGCGTTCATCTGTGGGAAACGAGGTCATCGGTGTGCCAATGTGGGAGGGTGCAAAATATATTTGTATTTTTCTATATATGTCTACTGTGCTGTGTATTTTTATGCCTGTATTTATAAATATGTACATGATGTATGTATGTGCGTGTCTCTCCGCGGCCCAGTTTAGCCCAGCCACCTGCAGCGTGTGGACGCACTTCGGCTGGGCACCTTTAATACTGTGCCAGGTTAAACCCTCAGCCTGCCGTTCTGCCTCCGCGGATAGACATTAACAACTTGATCATGTGACCCTCGTTTTACTGCCTCATCGCTTCCAGAAGAAGTGAAAACGGGGCGAAGAGCAGCACGTGATTTACGTTTGAGTAACAGAGATAGAGCATCATTTGTCCAGGTCAACAGGCAAGGGAGGCAGCTCTGATCTGCTAGTTTTTCCCCGACGTATCTCCTGGTTTAGAGCCCCAGCTGTGATGTCACACAGCTCCCCCTGTCGCTATTTTCATGTCACATCAGACTATTTCGGTAGCGGCCAAGCTTTGGAATTCAAACTAAGGCATTCAGATCCTTCCATCAACAGTCTCTCTTCTTACGGGGCCGGCCGGCCGTCGCTCTTCTTTTAGACTCGTGGCCGGCGGTCTTGGAGCCTGTAGTACTGTCCTCTGCATGACCAGCACCTCGCGGCCAGTGGATGAAGCTGGTGTTTAGGGGGAGGCTGTCACGGCCGGGAGATCCTTGGCACGTTCTCTGGTTTCCTCTGTCATCTGTATGGAGTCCCCCACTGAATATCTGTCTCTCTTTCTTTTCTGCGTTCTACAGCAGCCAAGAGTCTACTCAACAAGAAGGCGGATGTCAAGGTAAGACAGATAGATGCCAACCCCAGCCTCTTTCTGTCCCCTTGGCCCATCCTGTCGTCATTAACTCCTTTCCTCTCTGGTTTAGATTATTGTTGCTAATGCTGTCCTGTCTGTATCTGTAATGCCGACTCTCTCGTATCACTTATGTGCTCCTGTCACCTGGAAGTGATCACTGAGCTGCCTCTGATCGCTGTGTTTTTCTGCTGCGTGTGTGTTTGAGACAGAGATGAGTTGTGTGTGTGTGTGTGTGTTTACCTGTTCGCATGCATATTTGTGTCCATGTTGTCCAAGCTTATTTCTGTCTCTTATTGTATTAGCTTAAGTGTGTGTATTTGTCTGTAGCCTGCGTTTATGTGAATATTTAAGTGTGTAAATCTGTGAGTGGACGCGTGTGTTTATATAAGAGCCCCGAGACCCCAGGCAGCATCGGAAGGCCACAGCGCCCTCCAGAGGCTCCCTCAGTGACTGACATCCCAGCCCCCCGCAGACCAAGCGCGTGCCGTCCTGGCACAGGTCACATGACTGCGATGAGCTGTGGCATGTGGTCACGCCGCACGCGGCATGGGGGTCAGGCCCCCGGCTCAGAGTGCTGGGCATTCTAAAGAACCATAGTTGCCCCCCCCCATGTACATTGACATTTCTGGAAAAATATGACCAAACCAGCCTGTCATGGTTTCCCTCAATCTCAGTATCAGATCTTAAAGGTATTATTTGTAATGCAGAATGCCCCCCCGCCCCCCACCTCAGTCGTGCAGGTGGGGGACATGTTTCACCGCGGCTGCCCGTGTGATGTCGCTCTAAAGCAGACAGCTGTCTGCAGGCTCGCCCGGTGATTAATCAGGCCCGACGTTTCCTGCGGCGCCGTATTCCCGTTATTCCGGAGACCAGAGCAGATCCCCATGGCTAACGTCATCCCTTATTTACCTCCAACGCCATCGTCTGCGTTGTGTAATTAACTTCTGCCATTACTGTTTATTAGAGCGTAATTTATTTGTCTTGTTCACTATGGCGTTTCCGTTTATTGAGCATTGTTAGTGCCGTATGCGTGCCGTGGGGGCTGCTGGATAACATGAGTCAGGTTAGGGGTGGGAGATTGGTGCATAGAGAAAGGTGGAGCCTCGCCCCGCCTCGCCCCTGCCCCGCCCCCAGCTGCCTCTGCCTGCTCTTTACCCAGGTGACTCCACCCTGGACCCCCAGCCTCGGGTGGGTGTCTCGGGGCCCCCGCGGTGGCCTTCAGGTCGGCCCCCTTCGCGCCCATCGCATGGCCATTCTGCAGATATCCGACACCGGTGCTGGTTTCTCCGCAGACACCCATCCGCTGGCGTGCGAGGCGGCTGTAGTACTTCCCGTGGGGCACGGGGAAAGGGCTGGAGCTTCTGGGCATCGCTGCTGCCCCTCCCCCCCCCGGCCCCCCTGCTGTGTCAAAGGCCGCGTCTCTGTTCTCACTTTCATAACTGAGCTATTTTAAACATTGCTGGTTGTTCTTATTCTTTATTCCTCCGTTTGTTTATTCTCTCTCCTCTCTGCATTGCTTTCTTTCTCCTGGGTTTTCTGTGCGCCATCCTCACAGATCTGCCCGCCTCTGCTACGCCAAACCCCCTCCCCCCCAGCCCCCACATACGCGCGTGCACACACACACGCACACAGCCTTGGGTGGGCGTGTGTGTATGCGTGTGTTGACTTGGTGGGGTGGGGTCAACTCAGCTGGGAATGTGAGTCCGGTTCTAGGAATAGCTGCCAGTCGGAACCCTGGAAACTCGGTGACAGAAATAGAGCCTTCCAGTGCGCCTCCGTCATCGCCTAGCAACAGGCTCCCCCTGTATCCGCACTCTGACATTTCAGGGGGTTTGCTCCTCTTCCCTGCTGCCTTTGCCTGCCAGGCCTCCCCTTCCACCCGTGCAGCCGCACACCTGCATGAGTGCATTCGGGCTGTCCCAACTGCCACGGTCCGGGGCAGCCGTTACCTTGGTAACCTCCCATCTGTCTCAGAATATACCCATGTATTTTTATTTTTTTTTTAAGCTGAGTTCACTATCCTTGCGATTTGCAAGGAGGTTCTTACTGAAAGGGCTTCCTTGCCTTACAGGTGAGATACTTTAGCCCCTTTTGCCGTCTGACTTCCATCATTCACGGTAGCCACCTACAGGTCTGACGGGAGACGACAGATCATTGGTCGGTTGGTGCCTACTTTCCCGCACTGCCCCATGGGATATGCAGTTCGTAGAGACAGCAGCGTGCCTGCAGTGGTGGTGCTGCCTGCAATCTGCAGATACGGAGAAACCGACACATATAAAAGGAGTCTGGTGTGTAACTCCCACATTTTTTCTACAGCAGACTCCCTCTGTAATTTAGCATTATATATTTTACAGACAATAGCACACCTTAGTGCGCTCATGCTGTTCCAGATCAATCTCCTTAATCCTACGTCACATCACTGTCCAATTGCTGTCTTTGAAATACAGCAGAACAGTGTTTTTTTGATATTCTGTATAGAGGGTATAATCCGCAGACCATCAGCAGCAGACCATCAGCAGCAGACCATCAGCAGCAGACCATCAGCTGCAGACCATCAGCTGCAGACCATCAGCTGCAGACTATCAGCTGCAGACTATCAGCTGCAGACTATCAGCTGCAGACTATCAGCTGCAGACCATCAGCAGCAGTCATTAGCAGCTCCGGCTTCAGCACCAAATCCATGGTAGCTGCGTTGCCATCCTGCCAGCTCTGGCTCACATGGTGCCACGGCCTCTGCCATGCACTTATCTGCTTCCCGCCCTCCTCAGCTTGAGTCTCGACATTCCTGCCCTCTTTCCTTCCTCCTCCTCTGGCAGCCCCAGTCTCCCATCTCTCCGTCCTCAGACGCCGTCCTTTCCTAATACTCCTTTTGATCCCGCCAGCGCACCGTCACCGATGCCAGATTTGGCGGGAAGATGATGTGCGCGGCCGAGGCGTGTGTTTCACATGGCGCGTAACATACATTTCTCTCATTCTCTTCCCCCCTTCCCCGCCCCCCCCCCCCCCATCACTACCTCGTTGTCGCTGCCATTCCCAATCATCTCAACCATCACCTGGACCAGAAGAGGAAGTCAAGCTCGACGGTCCAGTACATGGTGAGGACTCCATTTTCCATCACCTCCTCTATACCTTGTCTCCTCCTTGATGCATTTTTTTCCATCCATTCTTCTCCTGATCCTGCTCTTCTCATCTCCACAACTGACATTTTTCCCTTTTGTTCCTCCCTCCTTACTCTTCCTGAACTTGTAAGTTTCAAAACAGTATTTAAAAGTACTTGATATTGATAAAAGTTACTGAAGTTCCATGTGTTTAGGAAGGAGAAGTGAAAACTTGTTCTTCCCCACTTTGGCAGAAGGGCTGCTTTTTCATTTGGACGAAGCCCCCCCTGTGTGTTCTGTTTCTCTGGCTGACTGAAATTAGGCCACCTTTTTTTCTCGCTTCCATTGTAACACAAACCAAACTGCAGCGAAGGAAGCGACAGTTTGGGCACCGGACTTTCCGTGAGCCTGGTCTTTCCTCGCCCATGTCTGACCAGGGGCCTCGTGGGGTTTTCTGAGGCGGTCCTCGGGCTTTGATGGTGCGCAGTGGTCACTGAGGATGCACTTTACTGCGGCGGGCCTGGCTTCTGGCCCAACCGGAGATCTGGCAGAGGGACCTGCAGTGATCGTGAACGTCTTCCCATTAAGAACCGGTCCTGGGGAAAAGGTCCCACATGGCTCTCCGTTTGTGGATTTACGAGTTCTAATGATGCCATAATTTGCTGAACTTAGGGAAACGCCCTTAAATCAGTATAGTCCAGTGCCTGTGGCCCCTGCTGTTTAACATCCCCTTGAGTGCTCTGGGTGAGCATCCTCTGAGTCTGGCTCGCGCGACAGTGTGCTGAAGTGTGTACGGTGGTCTATCCCCACCGGAGCCTTTTCTGGCTGGCGCGTGTGACAGTGTGCTGAAGTGTGTACGGTGGTCTATCCCCAACGGAGCCTTTTCTGGCTCGCGCGTGTGACAGTGTGCTGAAGTGTGTACGGTGGTCTATCCCCACCGGAGCCTTTGCTTTGTGTTTGGATGTGCGTAGAAGTCGACGCTGGTCCCTCCGTTTCGTCTGTGCGATGGCCTCTGCTGTGTACCGTGTTGTCGGCGTGTTGCTGAGCTGCACTGGCCTCGCCCGTCTTCGTGTGCACTTCTGTGTGCGTGTGTGCGTGTGCACTTCTGTGTGCGTGTGTGCGTGTGCACTTCTGTGTGCGTGTGCACTTCTGTGTGCGTATGTGCGTGTGCACTTCTGTGTGCATGTGCACTTCTGTGTGCGTATTTGCGTGTGCACTTCTGTGTGCGTGTGTGCGTGTGCACTTCTGTGTGCTTGGGAGCCCTGACTCCTCGTGTGTGTCGCCCATGTTCTGTGCCTGTGAGGACGTCCTCTTCCTCCTCCTCCTCCTCGGCTCTGTGGCTGTTTCGCCGGTTGATGACTCGTCTCAGCGCTCGGCTTTTTAGAAGCTGTATTTCGTCTCTTTCCTTTTCGATGTTTCTTCTGCAGTCATTGTCTAACCCCGCCCACAACTGCACACTCACCACTCCAATTGGCTGCCATTCATATGACAGACACTGAAAAGAGCCATTAGTCACGACCAATCAGTACCATATTCTGACCAAACTTACAAAGACAGTGTACTGAGAGAGTGAGAAATATTGTGACTAATTTGTTTAAAATGATAAATAATTTATAGGCTGACACGTTTTTATTTATTGTCCAGGCCAGATGCACAGTAAAGAACAATCAGAAAGTACAGTCAGTGCCGACCAAGTTTATCTGTGTGCTGCTTGTTTTGACTCCTTCATGTCGGTTGACTCACTTTAATACTGTGTTGTGTTTCCTGCACAGCCGCAGTCAAACAGCACGAAAAACAGCATAGTCACCAGCCCCAAGGGAAACGTCCCCTCTCCTGCCCTGGTATTTAAATCTTTATCTCTCTCTCTCTCTCTCTATCTCTCTTTCTCTCTCTCTCATGCTCCTGCTCTGGCTCCACTGTCCTCTCTCTCTCTCTCTCTCTCCCTGTCTCTTTCCCTGTTGTTCACAGTCAGCATCAGTCCCTTATGACAGTTCCTGTTGCCCCTCTCTCTGTCAATCAACACATCTCAGCATCTGATTCGTGGCCAGTCCCTCCTGTGTGGTCAGTCAAGCTCGACATTACATCACATTCGCTTCGTCCATTGGCTTATCGACGCCCTTATTCCAAGCCCCTTGTGTTGCGTAACCCATTTTTATAGCTGAATACTTACTAGAGCGATTCAGGTTAAGTGCCCTACTCGGCAAGCCTGTTGCTATTACACAGATCCCATCTATGTGCTCTGGGTGGGATTTAAAATTAGACCTCCCGTCCACGTTTGCAATGTCAACCCTTCAGCATCTTAATGATAACAGATTGCAACTAGAGCAGGGGCGTGATGAAAATAGCCGAACGACCAAACTCCACTTCCCAGATATCCCTGCTGTCCGGGGGCTTCCTGTGATGGCCGTCTTAGGAGTTTGCCCATTTGTGAAAATCCATGTTTTTGCGGGAATGTGCCGTCCATCCACTTAAATGATTAAGGCTACCTTTGTTACTGAACAATCATTAACATTTTATTTTACCTGAACTACTTAAGTTTAAGACAAATTTCCTAAGACAAATCCTTGTTTTCCACGGTCTACTTCCTGTTTCTCAATTTTTTCTTTACACCTCGGGCTACTGGGCTAAATCACGTGACGCCACTTCAGGGCGGGAAATGGGTCACTGTTATTCTTAGCAGACAGATATATGTACAGACGCTTTGCCATGTGTTGACGTGCCTTGTAATATTTGCCTTTTGCCATTGATATTTTCATCCAGGAGATTCCTTGGTTATTTACGTCGTCTCGTTTGACCAAATGCGGTAAAAACACCGTACGCAGTTACTCCATTGGCTAAGTCAGCGTAGGGAACGTTTGCTAACGTTTACCACAGATAGCTGTGAGGGTTCCCGTTCAACCATGACCGCTTGCACTGTCCCGCTTTCTCCGTTAAAAATCTTGTGAGGAGTGTGACAGCTGTGGGGACCGCGGAGAGGAATGTGGTCCAGTTAAGGGCGTCGTCAGTGTGTGGCACTGTGACCCGAATGGGCCTAGCGACATTTGGAGCCATATATCACCGTATTTTTAGGATCCTTCATAGCTGCCCTTTAATGCTGCTGTGTGTGTGCGTGTTTCGGCTCTGGCTTGCCTGCACGCGTGTGCGGGGGCAGAGGCGCGTGCGCATGTATGTGTGTGTGTGTGCGTGTGTGTTTACAGAGACCCTGTGCTGAGTTCCACCCCCCCCAAAGGGAAAACGCCTGATGGAAACCTGAGGCAGCCTTGCTGTTGTCACACTGCCATGCCGTCATTCTCCTCCCGCCCTGTTCATGCCGCTCACTCCCATACCGCTGCTCACCCCGCACTGCGTGTAGCTATATATGTGTGAGCGTGCCTGTGTGTGTATGTATGTGTGTGTGTGTGTGTATGTATGTGTGTGTATGTATGTGTGTGTATGTATGTGTGTGTGTGTATGTATGTGTGTGTATGTATGTGTGTGTATGTATGTGTGTGTGTGTATGTATGTGTGTGTGTGTCTTTCTGAAAATGCCAGAGTCCTCGACAGATGTGAACGTGTTTATGTCATTTCTTCCCCACCATGTGTTTCCTTGGGGACGTATCTTCTGTCTCTTGGTACTCTGAAGGACCCCCCCCCACCCCCAGCTGTTTGTGCTCAATATCCACTCACCGTTT